GGGGGGGGGGGGAGAAAGAAGAAAAAAGAAGAACGTGAATTGAGATTCTTATTAATATCATAGAAACTTATTTGAGATTTTACTAAAAATCTCGGGAACATAACTAATAAGATTAATAAAATCCCCATAATTACATATATTACTAGATGGTATGATAACCTTAATTAATAACTCGCATTAGAAACATAAATTCTAGTAATGTGACAACAACAATATTATTAAGATAATAAAAATAATGGTAACGATAATAATGATAACTGTCATACAAGAGAACTATTAATTGAAAATATAATTTTAGTTGAAAATATTAAATCTAGTTGATTAATTTTAATTCAAATACTATTGCTCCTTTTATTTTTTATAATAAGTTAATACTCTCATTGAATATGTTTCCTATATTTATATATATTTTCAATTTCAAATTTTACTAGTTTTACTTTCAATATATATCTTTCAAATAATTTTTTTATTTGAGTAAAAGAAAAAGATTTAAAGATTTTTAAATTTATGTAAAAGAGAGTTGATAGAAAATATTAATTATAATAATTAATTCTATTAAAAATACAATTAAGGATATTTTTAATAAATTTTGTAATCAAGTTTTAATTTTCCCAGAGCGTGTGCGTGCATCTAATGATACATTATGCATGCAATATACAGCTGGTTTTAATTAAAAAGACTACCTAAAATCTTTTGTCAGTCTTACAATCCACAGTTTATAATTCAGATTCAGGTCATGTTTCCTGAATTCTTGAATCTCCCTGCTTTCTTCTCAAATTGTGTTTTTTCTAATTGTACCTCTTAACAGTAGACAAGTGACAGAGTTGGTTGAAATGTCACCTTTATGAGCAAAATTAGTAAAACCATATCTAATGTCAATGGGTGTGGGTTACATATTCTTTTTATAACTCATAATATACATGTTTGTTTCAGACAAGTAATTGAAGATTTTTAGCTACTTGGTATTTTGCGTGTGCAAGAGCGTTTAACTCCTTCAGATGTTACTAGAAAAAAGATAAGGCCACGTCAGAATAATCATGGTGTTAGTTGCATGAGGGTCCTAGTTCCACAAAAGGTTTGTATTTCTTTTCCCATTTTGTCACAAATATTTATTTCCTTTCCTAAACCTCTTGAATCACGACACGTTTCCCAATTTTTAATGCTTACCTATTTCACATTCAAGAGATAAAATTTTAAAAAATTGAATCTTATCTATCACAGCCGAAAGCCCGAAATACACAAAATGACACTGTTTTTCTTTCATCACGCAAGCAATACATAAAACGACAGTATCATTGTGCTAGCTCGATGACTACTTTTGCCACTTAGTTATAGTAAAAGTGAATTATAATGTCTGATAAATATTTCCTAAGAACTTAAATTCTAAGAGACTCGTTCGGAGGAGAATTTTACTTAATTATTGTGGAGAATTAAACTAATAATAACTCTAGCACCAGGCAATGACAGAAGAGAAAGAATTACTTCTGACAAACCGTTTTCTGTTCCAACTAATTAACCGGCACAGAAGGGATTGATATATAGTGTCAAAATCAAAATCAAAATCTGTCCTTAAAGTGAATATAGAAAAAAATGAAAATGTTTGAGAGGAATTGAGGCTGTAAATGTAATTGAGCACTTTACCTGGCTGGAGTCACGTGGTAAGCAGGGACCCCACACGGCCTCGAGCAGTGGGCCCCACTTGTAGAATGGCTCCCGGCTGGCAAGCATGTGGTGCTTTCCGCAGAGATCCGACCGTTGTAACGCAAATTACGCCGTTGCCACTATCAAACCAAAAGGGAAAGGGACCCATCCATCAAACACCAAATTTTATTAATTAATAATCATCCAATAAAACAAAATGCCAATGCAATACAAACAATACCATTACCAACAACGGCTATATGCACTATTTTCTTTTTATAGTATTATTATTAATATCAATTACAAATTATTATTTATAGTAAATTTGTGACTTCTATAATAGTTGTTTTAAAAATCATATGGTTAAATTCATGTATTTATATCCGAAAATTATATTTCAAATTGTAACCATGCAATTGCAGACAAGAGTCAATGTCACACACGGAATAATTAGTTTACTTCAATTAAAATTTTCAAAATCTACTTTATAGGCATTTTTTTAAGACTAAATCTAGTTTATAGATATATAATTATATTAAATATTTAAATTAAATATTTTATCATCAGTAATAATCTTATTTATTTAAGTCGAGTTTCATTGTCTTTGGAAATAGGAAAAATAATTTAATTTTTAAATAAAAAGAAAAAAAGAAAAAGTCAAGTAGCCAACAAAGAAATGGAAGTTGTGAACTGGCTACTGGCTGTCACCCTTTGAAGGCCTTCTTCATTGAGCTTGTTCCAGTGTGTGTCTACTACAGGTTTAGCTTTTTTCTCCTTCTCCTTCTCTCAATCCTAATTTTCTCCTCTATCTAACACACTCAATCCTACCCCATTCTTTCTTTCTTTCCCTTTAGAAATTGATAACATGTAAAATCAGAGAAAAGGCAAAAGCTACTAAAATCTTAATTGCCTCTAAATCTTTTGAGGAAATCCACAAAGTTCCTCCCAATGGCTTCTTTCACACCTCTCTTCTTCTTCCTCATCAACCTCTCCTTGCTTCTCGCCCTCTCTTCCGCTGCGGATCCATTCGTTTCCTACCAATTTGAGGTCTCTTACATCACCGCCTCCCCTCTCGGAGTTCCTCAGCAGGTTCATTTCTCTCTCTCTTTAAAATACCGGCGTCATGTAAAAACTCAAGCTTTACTTGCAGATCTGCATCATGGGACACTCATACATAGTAATGTGATAGTTTAATACTTGAACTTGTGAAGGATTATGTGAATGCCGTTATGGGGTAGTAATAGTTTGGTGGGTGTGTCGGAAGAAATAGAAATAGGTACTACAGGGATGTGGTGATGATGGCCCTCATGTTTTGTCTGCATTGTTTGTGCAGGTCATTGCTATCAACAACAAGTTTCCAGGGCCTACTATCAATGTAACCACAAACAACAACGTTGTTGTCAATGTTCGGAACAAGTTGGACGAGAGCCTCCTCATTCATTGGTAGGGCGCTTGTTAGGTTTCTAAAGTTCAAAATTTTAAACTTGGATTTGTTTCTCCGAGCTGAATTTATGGAATTTTCATGAGACAGGTCTGGAATTCAGCAAAGGAGGAGTTCGTGGCAGGATGGTGTTCTTGGCACAAACTGTCCCATTCCTGCTAAGTGGAACTGGACTTACCAGTTTCAGGTGAAGGATCAGATTGGAAGCTTTTTCTACTTCCCTTCTCTTCATTTTCAGAGAGCTGCTGGTGGATTTGGGGGTTTCATCATAAACAACCGACCCATCATTCCTATTCCTTTTGATACCCCACATGGGGACATTGTCGTTTTCATTGGAGATTGGTACACCCGCAATCATACGGTGAGTGCTAGTTCAATCTATGGAAACTCCTGTTTTCTGATAAGTTTCAATTTGGTTCATACTTGTACAGTAAATAACATGGGTCAAACATTTTGTTACTGGTTTTGCTTTGGAATGTAGGATTTGAGGAAGGCCCTTGATGACGGGAAAGATCTTGGCATGCCAGATGGTGTTCTCATCAACGGAAAAGGTCCTTACCGATATAACGATACCCTTGTTCCTGAAGGCATTGATTATGAAACAATTGAAGTCCACCCCGGTAAGTTTTTTGGAAGAAATTTAATTCCTATGGGATAAAGTGAGAAACTTATATTTGTTATGCTGTTTCTCTAATGTTAAAGAAACATGCAATCCTTGACTAATGTATGCTGGCTGTTTTACTTTTATAAGTTGTTTAAATTAGATATTTGGAGCATAACCATGTCTGAATTGGGAGAGAAACAATATAGAAAGATATACAAAAGCAACTAAAGACTTCTATATTGAGTTACATCTGTTGTTTAAAGTGTAAAGTGTTTGTTAGGAAGAAAAGCTTCTTGTTGTTCTCCGATGTGTATTCATTATAATTTTTGTCTTTGGTTGGCTTTGGTTCTGGTGTTATGGCATTTATTTATTTATTTATAATGATTTACCTGTTAAATGTTTTGAATGGCTAACATATGATGTTCAACAGGAAAAACTTACCGACTTCGTGTACATAATGTTGGAGTATCTACCAGTCTCAATTTCAGGATCCAGAGTCATAACTTACTTCTAGCAGAGACAGAGGGGTCTTACACAGTGCAACAGAACTACACTAGCTTAGATATTCATGTTGGACAATCTTATTCTTTCCTTGTAACCATGGACCAGAATGCTAGTACAGATTACTACATTGTAGCAAGTGCCAGGTTTGTGAATGAATCACGTTGGCAAAAAGTTACTGGAGTTGGTATCTTGCGCTATACAAATTCCAAGGGGAAGGCACGTGGTCCTCTCCCACCGGCTCCTGATGATCAATTTGACAAAACTTACTCAATGAACCAAGCAAGATCCATCAGGTCTGTGCTGCAATTTTATAGCATTTTCTGTTATCTACTCATTTATCCATGCTTCAGTCTTCAGTCTTGAGGAATACTGTCAAATTAAGAACAAGTAATCTAGGTATATTAATTTCTGTATTGTTTTGGGAGGTTGAATAATTTTAAGAAGAATTTTTTGGATATGTTGTTAATCAATTTGTCAAACTAAAACAGCATGAATGTCACTATGTCTCAACTCCATGGACATATTGAATATGTTGCAAATATCAAACATTATTGAACAATGATTCCACTAGAATTTATGTCATATCGTCACTCACTCTTGCATTTTTGTGGTTAACTGTTTAGATGGAATGTATCAGCAAGTGGTGCTCGTCCTAACCCACAAGGGTCTTTTAGATATGGTTCCATCAACGTGACTGAGATTTATGTATTAAAAAATAAGCCACCAGAGAAAATCAATGGGAAGCGGCGAGCAACACTCAGTGGAATCTCATTTGTCAATCCTTCCACTCCAATCAGGCTTGCTGACCAGTACAAGTTAAAGGGTGTATACAAGCCTGATTTCCCCACCAAGCCTCTTACCGGATCACCTCGTGCAGCAACATCAGTCATTAATGGATCTTATAGAGGATTTATGGAAGTTATACTTCAGAACAATGATACCAAGATGCATACCTATCACATGAGTGGATATGCATTTTTTGTAGTCGGGTACTGACAATTTCCTTCTCTTTTAATGTGCATTTCAATGAATCCATGTTTCAAAAGCTAATAACACAAACTTGATTCGTTGCTGCAGGATGGATTATGGTGATTGGTCTGATAATAGCAGGGGCACATATAACAAGTGGGATGGAATAGCTCGCACTACAACACAGGTATATTTTTATCTTAGATATATCTGGCTCCTCTTGAACACTGTTGAAATTTTCATATTTTCCAAAGCTGTCAAATGCGTCATTTGAACTTATGTTCTGTTCATATCACTGGTCAATAATTTTATGTTAACGATTTCACCTTCTCACTTATGTTCCTGGTGAAGTCTTTTTGCTTCAACGCATTTGAAAAGTTGTAACATTTTGCTGCAACTGTAAACATAATGAAGTCATGTTTATAATGTTGCTGACTGACATACTAGTTTAGTCATAACTCAACCAAGATAGGATAAAAATGTTGAAGTGAATTGTTCCATATATGTTTACCTTTAAAATTTCAGAATCGTTGACTCTCAATGCTCCTATAATCAGTTCCATTTTCGAAGCTTGTATTTCACATACTAGTACCTTGAACTTAACTGGTACCATTTCTCTGGAACCATTCAATATTGTTGGTCAATCAATCTATGGAACTTTGTCAATGAATCACTTGAGCTAATAATAACTTACTAATTTCAGACATTTTACATGAACCTTGATATAACAGCTGCTGTAACACGGTTCCTAGAAGTTAAAATCTCACACGTGTCTGTATCATTTAGGTTTATCCTGGAGCATGGACAGCAATTTTGGTTTCCCTGGACAACGTAGGAGTGTGGAATCTCAGAACAGAAAACCTTGATTCATGGTATCTTGGTCAAGAAACATATGTCAGGGTTGTCAACCCAGAGGTTACTAACAAGACTGAACTGCCCATTCCAGACAATGCCCTTTTCTGTGGTGCCCTTAGTAAATTGCAGAAGTATGTAACAAATCCTTCTCTTTCAACCACCGCCATTAACTTACAGATTATGGATGGTTCTAAATTTTGATGTCAAAATGTTGTTTCAGGCCTCAAGATATTTCTTCAGATGCACCATCAATCAGTGGGAATAGCCTGAAGCTGTTCTTCACCTGGCTGATTGTGTGTGCCTGGATCCACATTTTCCAGTGAAAACACTTTCTGGGTCATCCTCTCTTAGATGCTTGCCAAGTGGACTTGTGGCTTGTTGGTGAGGTTTGTGGTTGAGTTCCTAGTTTTGTAAGTCTTGTTTATATTATTGATCTTGCAGTGATTTTGACTTGTATTCTTCCAATTAGCTTGTGGTTCCCGGTTTAATTTATTGGAAATTGTGATTCTTTTAATGCCTATAATTGTAGTAATGACAATTAATCACACTCTCGATACATGCAACTTTACTTCCACCGTGGTCACCATCTTTATATTTGTGTAATTTGTAGCCTATGCAAGGTCAAAGATGCATGGACCACCCAGCCGAAGATGCTTCTCTAGCTGGCTTATAGATATGATCTAGCTAGTCTATCTTTAAAACAAAAAAAAAGGGGGAAATAAATAGACATGACCAAACCAAACCGAACATTTTTCTTCTCTCTTGTACGTTTGCATGTACAAATTTAGCTGGATTTGGCTTATTGAAATCATTCTACACTTTTCTCCTATATTCTTCAATTTTGTTATGACTAATTGTTGTCCTTGAGGGACCGTTGCATCTTGTTTTCTTGCCCTCAGGTTGAAAGTGACGGTCCATAAATTTTCAATCACAATTTCAGCTCTCATCGGAAGTTTTCATAGATAAAGTTTAATTCATTTGCGACCGAAGAAAAAAAGTTCACATATATTACATCTACTGAAAAAGACCAGGTTTTTCCGTAAAAGAAAAAAATAAACAAAGGAAAGAAAAAGGCCATGCTTAAAATGCATGTACGAATTGTAAAAATTAATTAAATAATTTATGTCCACAACATTTGCGGATCTTGTCGGCAGCTACTCCCGCTCGATTTCAACATTCCACTTAATATCGGAACAGTTGACGGTTATGTTTTTAAATTTGGACACGTCATCCAATTGGTCAGATGTATTAATTCTTGGTTATCTTGCTTTTAATTAGATTTAAATTTTTATGATTTTTTTGCTGTTCAGAAAAAATAAAATAATATTAAAAATATAATATCATAATTTTATAATACTAAATTAAAAATAAAACAAATTTTATAGAATTTTAACATTTAAAGTAAGTAAAAATGTTCAAATCAAATTTATCATAATAGTTTAATCTAAGTTTTAATGCTACATGTTAACTTTTTTTTTAATAATAACAAGTTTAGAATTATTATAAGAAAAGCAAACGACATTTTAACACGATTTTATTTTTATAGAAAAAAAAAATTAAAACAATGTTTAAATCATTTTGTTGACTAGTTGCAAATGTAAATGTAAATGATTTACTCAACTTGTAATTTAGTGCTGTTGCTGGTCTTTTCTCCAAATCACTTTTGTTTTGACTCCCAATGCAAGAAAACTACTCACAAATTTTTTTATATTTAGACCTAAAGCCTATTCAAAGCATCTAAGAATATACTTGATAACTTTGACGTTTTTTTAGTGCCATCCACATTTATTATAACAAGTTGGACCTCATTTCTTTTATTAGAAAAATAATTTAAATTTTTAAGATATTGTTCATATATAAAAAAAAAAACATTATTTATTCTTAAGATATTGTTTAAAATTAAAAATATTGTATTTATTTTTTGGATTTTTTTTAAAAAAATTAAGATGTTAAATCAATAAATAAATACTTTTAAAATGAGAAGAATCACTTAACTTGTAAATGAATAACTTAAGAGAGAGAGACATATGGAGAAAGATTTACTAGGTTTCATTATAAAACTTGTATCAAGAATTTCCAAGTTGTGTTTAGAAAACTTACGAGAAAGAAATTAAGTTTCATTTATGAAATTCGTGAAAGAATTTTTAAATTTCACCCAAAAAAATATGAAGGAGAATTTTCAGATACATAATACATTTTGAGCTAATAAACATTCTTGTGATGTAAAAATGAAGAGTCAAATCATGTTAAACGATAATTTATTTTTAATTTTATAACATTTTTTTATGTCTCGTTTGTACTTAAAAAGAAAGAATTTATTTTTTTCAACATCCTTTACCAACCTTATATTCTTTAAATGCCTCATTTTATTTTGCTTCCATTATCAATCCATCTAGTCTCTGCACCATCACCGTGAATATAAAAGGTGCTGATGGATTTCTTTAACGTAAACCACTATGAATATCAAATCCACTGGTAGGGCTTTCCTTTTACTAGGACTGACAGTTTACAAGGGCTTCCGTTACCTATGGAGCACATGTGAAAAGCTCCCTGTGAGGATATTCAGCTATAGGAAAGTGTGGGTTTGGGCAGTCTCCTTTTGTTGACCTTGTGTATATTTTGGAATAATGGAACGTAATTAACAAGTTTACTACTACGTTCCATTATTCCAAGCAGTGTTCTGAGCAAAAAACTGCAGAGAAGTCTGACAATTGAAGATAATCTACTATGTGAGTCCTGTTGTCAGAGACATGCATGTGATTTAAGTGTGATGTGATGATACTGTTGAATCTCAATCTCAAATAAGAAAAAGTAAGGAAGGAAGGACTAGGTAAGGTAACTAACTAGCTAGTTAGCCTGACAGGAAGTTCCCCCATACTCACTAGTTATTTATTGCAAGTGGATTAGAGGCTTCATATTTGAAAGATAGCTATGTTATTAAGCATTTCAATAATGATTCCATTTTTTAACTGTGTTTATGTATAAAATTTTGTTAGAAAAAATAAAATTTATTTTGTAACTTTTATATTTAAAAAATAATTTTTTTATTATTCGTGGAGGGATATCTTTGATTTTTAAAAAGAAAAAACATACTTGTTTTGATGAGTTTAATTTTTTTTTTAATTTGAAATATATTTTTTAATCTCTAAAATTAAAAATTAATCTTTTTTTGTTCATGTAATTAAAAAAAAAGTTGTTTGTCTCCGGAAACTTGCAACTTACTGACAATAATAGATTGAATCAATTGTGTAATATCTTGATATAATGATTTTTCTACTAAATAAATTATATTAATAAGTGAATTTCATGCTTTAGTCATTAATATAGTTTGGACTTTGGACAGAGAGAATGATTATTTTTTTCAAATAACAAAAATTAAAAAAGATTAATTTTAAATTTAAATAAACCAAAAATAAATTTATCTCATGTTTGACATACTAAAAATATTTTATTCCTTTTTAAAATAATAATTTTAATTTTAATTTGTTACTACTTTGATTTTGGTTCTTTTATGTTTTAAGTTTTTAAAATTTTAAAATCAGAATCAATTTTATATTTTTTATTTTAATTTCGGTTTTTTTTCTAGCTTTAAATTGTTGCCAAAATTTTAATTTTTGTTTTAAAAAAATCGTTAAAATTGTGAAATTCTTCACATGTAATTAGGTTTAAGGGATACGGGTGAGAGAAAAAAAAAAGTTCTTATAGCTTCTCTGGGTTAATCCGGAATAGGATATGATCAAATAATGCTAAAAGGCATAGATTTAATTTGACTTCAAAATTTAAAGTTCAAACTATATATTTCAAATAGGTAGTTTAATTTTAGGATGTAATCGGAGAAGTCAAAAAGTTCTTATTTATTTCAAGCTTCTAAAATGAAATTAAGCCTACTGAAAATTTGACTTGAACTAATAACTTATTATGACCTAAGCGCATAATAGGGTCTAACTAAAGGATCATCTTTAATTTGCACTCAAAAATTAAAATTCGAATCTTACATTTCATCCAACGGGTCTATTATAGGATAGACCAATTGCTTTCTCAATGCAAGTTGTAGGTTATAGTAGGTTGGGAAAAAAACATCTACATTCAATTTATACTACTTAAGATAGGTGCATTTCCCATGAAAACCCAAGTTGTATTATTAACTCATGTGGGCTAATCGTTGATTAAGCTAAAAAGACCTTGATTTAATATGTTTTCAAAATTTAAAGTTCAAGTCAAACATATTATCAAACAGTTTAGAAATATACACACACACACTCTAAAATGAGAGTTAGTCTCAATGAAAGCCTAATTTGTATGGATTAATTAGCGTATATCAACCATGATCAACTCAGACTTAAAAAATCTTAAATTTAACTTGTCTCCAAAATTAAAAGTCTTACATTTCATCAATTAGGTTCCAATTTGACCAATTACAGGATCGAGGTGAGTCATGGACTATAGTAGGTTACACAAAACGTCAAACCTTAATTTGGTTTTTAAAAATGAGATTAAAGCTTAGTAAAATCTGAATTTGTACAAGTTTTTGTGAGGTGTGCCTAGATTAATGCAAGAACAAATCAAGCTTTAAATTCATTTTAACTCGAGTAGTGAAGAAGGTGAGGGTTGGGGGAAATGATAGAAAGGGGTGAGGGAGGGTGGGGGTGAAGGGGATGAGCGAGACAACGGGGAACGGGGGAAGGAATAGGTGGCCAGAAGGTGAGAGGGAGACTAGGGGAGTTGTTACGAGGGTAGAGGTTCTATTTTTTAAAAATATAAATAAAAAATTTGACATCTACATCGATTAAATTTAATCAATAACCATCGATGTTCTACATTGATGACATTTATATTGATTGCCGAATCAACGTAGAATTTCCTTTTCAACCGGTGTAAAAAATAAAATAAGAAAATATAGGTGCAATTTTATCCTAGTTAAAAAGATGACAAGTTTTTGCATAAAACCTACTTGATTGTTTTGATTTTGCATATGTTTGGATAAATTTCTTTACAAACATTTCAAACTGGAATTGGCTTCTCTCTCTCTTCGAACTCTATTTAGAGATACATACAAAAGGAAAGTGGTCTCACAAATAAATAATGAATTAGGTTAAGAAAGTACCCCCATTTACATAAGCATAAAATATTGTCCTTAATTTGCGAATAGATAATCATTTAACCGATTAAATAAGATAAGTCAATTAAACTTGCATCTACCAAAAACATAAGGTTGTTTTGACCAAGAAACATGGGAATAAGTGGCATGAGCGAGATTTTCGCCACCCCTTTGCTGCTTCAGGATCATGATTGGTAACTATGGAAAACGGTATTCCCTTCCTACTCGATCACCCCACACATGAGCGGGGGCACCATAGTCCAGCCCCATAGATTGAGCTCTGAAGTTGGCAATATCTCTTTCTCTTCACCAAGTTGATAGTATAGTTAATTAAGATGAGTGGTCCCTAGTGTTTGCTTTGGCGACCCATGCTCACCCATCGGATGGTCAAACCGAGTAATTGTATTCTCGAGTACAATATTTATGAGAAAAAATAACAAAGAAAAATTAAATTAGTTTATGTATAAGTCATTTTGCAAAAGTTCTTTTATATTGATTTCTCTAAAAACTTGTCTATAAATTATGGATAAATTAATTTTAACTTGTAAAAAATATTATTTCTTTTATCCTAATGGTAGCATGTACTAACATTTCTCAATTGTTATTAGCGTGCTTCTTTTGATAAAATTTGTATGGAACAAAGGATCACCAAAAGATAGAGTCTCACTGTCTCCGTATGTATATATTGGCATTATAATGCTTGTGGGTGATGCCTTGCGT